ACACACAACACACAACACACAGCACACAGCACACAACACACAACACACAACACACAACACACAACACACAACACACAACACACAACACACAACACACACACACACACACGCGCGCGCATGAGTGCACGGAGAGAGAAGGGGAGAGAGCGAGGATCACCAGGCAGGAGTAGCTAAGCAGCAGCGGGAGCAAGGGAATGCTTTTTTGCCTCTTTGACTTAATTGCTTCAGTTTCGGAAAAGACCAAAAAAACGTGGGTCATTCCGCCAGACAGCATCCACGCACGCGCGCACGCAGTTGTCGGTGCGCACGGTTTCAACAAACCTGCAGACATGAGGCCTGGCTGCGTGTGCACGGTGGCATGCGTTCCTACAGTTTTTTTGAGCTGGCGGGATTTGTGCACCCCTGTTCTGTCATGCATGACCCCAACACGTTCCACTGGTCGTGACCGAAGGGCCTGGTCGAATGGGTCATTCAGCCCTACGTCATGCCGCCGCTTTTGCGGAGAGGTCGAAAATTCCATGTGCAGCTTGTCAAACTGAATAAATGCAGCTTTTCAGTTGATTGGTTTTCGGGCACTCAACTCTGGAAATGGTATGTTCTCGGGTCCAGTTGTTTGAGCCGTTTGAGCCAGGTTTTTTTCTGAAAAGATGTCTCTACGAGCAGTGGCGTAGATCAGTGTGATGGTACACCGCCAAAGCAGCAGTACTGTTTGGAAGCGGGTGCTGTGCCGAATCCTTGGCTCCTTGCAGCCCTTCTCAGGCGCGTGCACTTCCTTCTGGTCGGTTGCCCCATGTGTGGCTTCAGCCGCGCTTGGCTTCATGCAGCTTGGATGGACACGCATGCCCTTTCGGATGTCAGCGTGATGTCTGACAGTGTCCCCGTATTCGGAATGTTGCGGGAGTACAGCTACCTTCTCGCCGAGACGAAGGGCTGGCGCATGCAGCTTGTGTAATTGAGCAATATGCACTTCTACGCTGCGAAGGAAAGGCTTCACGTTGTGCTGGCAGCAGCCAGGCGATGGACGGTGCCCTGGCACTGACTGGCTTGACAGCAAGATTTGAGAAAAACGCAAGCAATTCTGCATGTGAATCTTGCGTACAGGAATGAAGAACACAGCAGTTTCATGGGCATTGAACCTTCTCAAAATTTGGTTCCTGCTCGAAGAGACGCTGAAACCCAGGCCCCGGTGCTGCTGTACATTGATGTACACTGATCTCTCACCATATTATACCATTGTCCTATAATGTGCACGCCGCGATTTGAGAGCGCTGCACGCCGGGCTTTTAGATCGCATTGAGGATGATCCCACGATGGCGGCGGTACACCTGACGAACCACTGCGTGCAGGTGAAGTGGCATCCGTGCAGCCATTGCCAGCACCGACTTCGGTATACTTCGGTAATTATAAGTTGGCTTTCAGGCTTTTTGCGGTTGATCATTCAAGGATTCGCAGGCCAGTTGCAAGGGACTGCAAGACGTGTTTTTGCTGCCACTGCCACGGCACACCACACACAGCCATGACAACACTATGCAGGCCGTATTTTCGAAATGGGTCGGCGCCCCTTGTAGCAAAGGCCACGGATCGGAACATGGCCACAGGCACAACTCGAGAATGGCAAACAGACACACAGCGAGATGGAACTGGGTTTACTTGTCGGGCCTGCGTCGTCACGCCTGAACACGCAGTTACCTGCGTGTATCTTGCGTTCGCAGGCAGCGCAGCCAGGATACAACGAGTCAGAGCAGGTGCTGCTCTGGGGTGAGTTGATGGAGGACTTCGGCGCCGTGCTTGGCAGCTTCAAAGTAGTTTGGTGGGTCGGCTTGCGACGGATACACCGCTGACCCGGTGTGCAGGCCAGCATGTGCTACTGCAAGGTCAGAGACTTGCAGGTGTGTGTTTGTGCAGACGACAGCTATTCATATTCTGGTTCGTCCTAGCTAGGCAGGAGGCAAAAAAAGCTGTAGAAACCAGTGTTCAAGCTGTGGTAGCGATAGCAGTGTAGCTGCACAGAAGATTCCCGGTAATCTTGAGTTCCAGAGCCTCCGGAGAAAGACTCCACGAGGAGACTGGCCTGGAGACCGAGGCGAGCCGCGAGTTCACCAAGGCCGCAGCGCCTGGCCGTGAGGAGTTTTTTTCTCCTCTGAGGCCCAGGCGCTCCTCGAAGACATGGGCCGCTCTCTTGGCCAAGCTTTAGCGGCAGCGTCTGCCTCACCAGGCCGCGGTTGCGATGGGACCCCGCGTGTTTAGCGACTCTAGTGGTGTCACGGCGTTTCAGGCTTCACGCCTCTTCCGCAATCCTTCGAGCTCTTCGGCGCAGCTACTTATCTCGAGACGGGTGCATCTGTGTGTGTGTATGTGTGTGTGTGTGTGCCGGTCGGTCGGTCGCCCGTCGTCGGCAACAGGCTTTCGCATCATTCATGCTTGGACCTACCCTTTTCCATCTGTGTCGTAAAGGGGTACTTTCATTGCAGCCGAGGACTTTGTTTTCCAAGATCTTGGGACAGCCAGGCCAAAGGCGTGGCTGCTGGAGGTGAATGCAGGCTGGCATCTGCAGTGTCCACAGCGCCCGCAATTCAACGGCAGTCCTCCGGGTTTTCCACCAGGTCCTGATTTGGCCGTGTTCGGCGATGCCAGACGGGATGAGGCAGTGTGCCTTGCGGAGGCTCGCGTCACGACCGGAGCTTAACTATAATTAGGAGTTGAATTCATTCCCTGCTAGGACGTGCTTCGTGCGGCGGTGTTGCCTTTTCAAGATGCTCATAAGGCAGGGGATGATTTGAGGTTGCAGCACCTGGTCTGCTAATGCGGATTGATCCTTGCTTTGACCAGTGGTCATATAATTGGGGGGTTACTTTGACCAGAGTTGCGAATTCTGTCGGCTTCTGGTTTGCCACATGTTCTTGACAGCCCACGCGGATGCTCCTCCAAACCAAGCCCCTGCCCTTGAGGATGCTCCTTATTTGGAAGCTCAAGTTTGCCCGTGCCGCGAGAGAATAGGCAGGGACCGATGGCGTCATGCTTTTCTGACTCTTTCAGAAGCCGTCTCTTTACATGTCCACAGGCTGAGTTGACCGATCTAATGCTGTTAACGTTGCAACTCTGGACGCGCTTTGCACGCAGGGGCAACGGGTTTCTCCATGGAGTTCTGGGCCAGTGCGCCTTCGACAAACTCACCACAGGCACCCACTCGAGGGGCGGTGAATTTCAGAAGCAGGATGGAAAGCTCAGGCCGAGCTGCAGCGACTTGCGCGGCGCCTGGGCACAGCAGCGCGCTGGGCCAAGGCCAGGAACACTCTCGGTTTGGTCGTTCGTATTCACTGTCACTCGTTTGGATTCAACATTTTGGGTGGAAAAAGCTTCCGAGTTTTGGGGGGTTTACCAGAAGGCTTCCCGCTGGCTCCAAGCTGCAAACGGAGAACGCCTCGTCCCAAATCCTGGGACTCGAGTCCATGTCGTAATGTAGAAGAACTAAAGCGAACTTAGTAACCCTGCTTCGAGCTTTGGGCTGAGAGCCATGGGCCGTCTTGTCGCAGACGTCTTGGTGTTGGGGAGCATGCTTGTGCGAGGGTCCAGGCAGACTTTGCATCGTTGTAGCGCAGCTTGTCAATGAAGAAGCCTGGTCCTTGCGCAGGTACCACTCAAAATTACCTGAATTGATTGAGGAAAGGAATCACATTGCCAGTCACTCATGCATTTGCGAGCTCGGTCGCCGAGTCCAATGCTTCGAGACATGCGAAGCCTTGCCCCTCATTTGTGCCAGGCTTTGCACAACCACAGCCGAGTGCAAGTTCGTGGCCCGCAAGCCACGGTGGCCCCTGAAGATGCGCAAAACAGCTTGAGAAGCGGGCCGGAGATGGCAACAGCTGATGTTCAGCGAGGGCCTGCGCAGCGTTGGCTAACTAAGGGCGAGTACGAGTTTGAGGTGCGCGGTAGCCTGCGACCGAGATGAACCGCTCTGACAGCTCATGACAGCTCTTAGTCTTGCCTTTTCAGGGAACGAAGTTTCGTCTTACAACTAACGCCAAGGCCAAGGCCGTGCCCTGACTGGTGCCATGGTCAAGGCAGGAGTTAGAACGTAGCGGATTGGCGCTTGGGCCTTCTGCTGTGTGATCCTGAAATGACGTTCTCGCAGCTGGAGGGGCTCAAATGTGACATCACATGGTGACGGACAAGTCATCTGTAGAAAGAAGCGAGACGCCAAACACCCGATGCTGCAAATGGACAAGGATGCGCAACAGGTGCATAGAAGTTGAGAAGTCCGCACCAACACCTCAAGAGTCATACACCTGACAAGCAGGAGCTTCTGGACCCTGTCTCTAGTCAGCAGAGGCCATGTCGGAGGCCTATGGATTTCCAAATGGCGCCAGCGCCCGAGCCGTCTATCAGCGGATGCCTATGGTGACATCACCTGCGGCTGGCCCCTTGCAAACTTATCGGTCCTGTGAAGAGAGAGAGAGACACATTTTCAGGACGTGATATGACTGTGACCTCACTCGGTTCCCGGGATCCGGCGTGAAGTAGTAAGCTAAGTCTTGTCCCAGCAAAACCGAGGACAGGTTCAAAGTCCACCGTTTCGCCAGTTGAGCACGCAAACCCCCAGGCAAGGAAAAGGATCACCGACAGATTGCATGCCTGAAGAGCAGACGCATGGTTTCGGAAACCCGTATTCAGGTTAGCAGACTCCATTGCAGCAGTCGTAACGGTCACAATAATCGAAGTAGTAGTAGCAGTAGTAGTGAGTA